GGGTACATTCTCAAACGTTTCACCGGCAAGATCAGTGAGTTTTATCATTCTCCGCACCAAATTACGAACTCGTAAAAGAGACAAGTAAAGTAAATCCCTCGACAAACGTTCTACCGAAAAAGATTACACTTGCTGTCCAGGCCTATCTATCTACTCCTTACCCTCTCATCCCACTGCCGCCCTATCACAACTTCTCATTTGTAAACATTCCACTCGTTAAAACTTGTGCACTTTTGTGGCAAATCTAGTGTGGCCTCATCACCCCTGCTAGTCATCCCGACCTCTACTCTTTCGCTCGGATAATCCGATTCGGGCCTCCAATCCGGATCCTCTCATTATCTCGTAAGTCCGTTCCTTATTTTTCTGGTTGACCGATTTCGCTCGGTTCCAGACCCTGTGTGCATTTCACTCTAGACGCTATTTATCAAGGCCTTAGAAGCACGTACACTGCCGCTTCACTGAGCGGAGCGTTTAAGCTCTGATTGCCATGCTTGCAGATATCAGGCCTTCCCTTCACGTATCCTCTCCTTGATTAAGCCCATGTTATCTGAGCAAACGGTCGACGCCTATCTCTGGTGGCATATGGCATCTCAAGTAGATTCCTAGTGCATTTTGGCCATAACGCCAAATTTCCCTGACGGTTTGCTTATCCGTCTGCCCAGCTCCCTAACTGCCAGGCCCCCAAAGTTGTACTGGTTTCTCCGACATGGACATCACACACTAACAACGTCTTTGCTTTATTGCCGAAAACCCCTATCCCCCACGTTCTTCATCACGATCCCTTTTCCTCCGGTTAGCGGTAGATCCTTGATCCAGACGTCTCCTTTTTGCTGGTCTTACTCTATTCTTGTTTTCTCCGAGTTTGCTTAGGCAGTAAGCAAAGTTATCGTTAATTCTACCTTTCTCCAATCTCCTGTTCATTAGATTTTTCTCCCCAAGGATGTCAATGGCCTCCATAATCTTCCGCTTCCTTGTGTTCTCACCATATTAGGCTCTTCTTTCTGTTGCCTTCCAATTAATCTCACGTCCAGCCTGTGCGATGTGTTCCGTTAGTTCTGATCTTTCGCTATCCATTTTTCTGCAGAGCCTCTGATGTTCCTTGATTCGTGTGCTAATTTTTCTCCCTGTTTCGCCAATATATTTATGTTCGCAGACGCCTCATGATATACAGTAAACTCCTGAACAAGCCAATTTATCTAGCCTTTCACGTTGCGTCGGAAGACTTGTGAAGTGTTAATTTCTCTTTCATGGACATCTGAATATTCCATTTACTCAATATTGGCCGTAGTTTTTGAGTTAGTTCGCAGGAAGGTAGGCATATCCACTTTTGTGAATCCTTCATTGTCCTTACTGATCTTTCATAGTGCCCGTTCCGCCATCGGCTTTTCACGGCCCTTATGTTTCTTTGTATCACTTCGCTAGGGTAGCCATTGCCGAGGAATATCCTCGTCAATTTGTCCAGCTCCTTGTCCCAGAATTCTACATCTGTTAGGCGTAGGCTTCGGATGATCATGCTCTTCATTATTCCTATCTTTAGTCTGTAATTTTGATGGGACCAGAAATTGAGTATTATCCTGAAAAATTTCTGCCCCATCACAATTACGGGCTAAAGATTGGAATAATGAGGAGCACGATCATCCGAAGCCTACGCCTAACGGATGTAGAATTCTGGGACGAGAAGCTAGACAAATTGACAAGGATATTCCTCGGCAATGGCTACCCTAGCGAAGTGATACAAAGAAACATATGGGCCGTGACAAGCCGATGACAGAACGGGCACTATGAAAGATCAGTAAGGACGATGAAGGATTCACAAAAGTAGATATGCCTACCTTTCTTCGAACTAACTCAAAAACTACGGCCAATATTGAGTAAATGGAATATACAGGTGGCCATGAAAGAGAAATCAACACTTCACAAGTCTGCCGACGCAACATGTAAGGGTATATAAATTGGATTGTTCAGGAGTTTACTGTATATCACGCGGTGCCTGCGAACATAAATATATTGGCGAAACAAGGAGAAAAATTAGCACACTAATCAAGGAACATCAGAGGCTCTGCAGAAAAATGGATAACGAAAGATCAGAACTAGCGGAACACATTGCACAGACTGGATACGAGATCAATGGGAAGGCAAAAGAAAGAAAAGCCCCATACGATGAGAACACAAGGAAGCGGAAGACTAGGGAAGCCATTGACATCCTTGGGGAGAAAAATTTAATGAACAGGAGATTGGAGAAAGGTAGAATTACGATAACTTTGCCTACTGCCTAAGCAAACTCGGAGAAAACAAGAATAGAGCAAGACCAGCAAAAAGGAGA